TAATATAATCTAAAAAAAAAGTTGTATTCCATTATTTGTATAGCATATTCTGATATTGCTTTTCAGAAAATGTTTTTTAATAATTAAATCTTATAGTAATTTATGACTACTAATGAAAATGAATACATTAATACGGATACATTCTTTTAGAAACAAAGAATTTTGTGATGTTACCTTAGTTACTGATGAAGGCCTAAAAATAGAAGCACATAGAAATATATATATATATTTTTTTTAATAATAATTCCACAACTAATCTAAATTTATTCGGTACTTCAACGAGACATGAAAATGTTCTATCGTGGTTGCAGACTCAGCTGAAAAATGGCTGATTTTATTTAAGTTATCTTTTTAAATATATATCTACAAGATGGCGGCCGTTAGTAGCAATCTTTTGCTGTAGCCGATATTTGGAGTTTACTCATCGATCTCTGGATCTGTCAATAAACAGAATTTTTTGATACTGGGCTGAAAATAACCCACGGGAACTTCATGAAAGACCATTCTACTCAACTAAAGTGTCAATATTGTGTGCTGTATCCCAAATTTGGGGTGATTGGCCGGTATTTTTTTAAAGAGCACAACAGGACTGTTACTGTCACTTCGGCGCGATATGTTTTGATGTTGGAAACTGCAGCACAGGTTGGAAGAAATTGATGAAGAATATGACTTGGGGGATGTATTGTTTCAACTAAATGGAGCTTCAGAGCACACAGCTCGAAATTTGCTAGTTTTTTTTTCTTCCAAATGTTTCCTGGGTGGTTAGTCTCTCAAAAGTGTGACGTGGGCTAGCCGGCTCGCTCCCCTGATTTGAGCACGTGCGTTTTTTTCTTCTAAAGCTTCCTTAAGGATAAAGTTTTCAAACATTGTCCCTATACCTTAGAAGACCTGAAAGAGAGAATCACTGAAGAAATCCCGGTCATACCCATCGAAACGTGCCGAAGATCATACCAAAACTTGCAAAAATTGCTTACAACAATGTATTGCTAATGACGCCAGCCATCTTGGTAATATAATTTTCTAAACTTAACTTGAGAAACTGAAATTGTTAATAATTTAAATAAAACAAACCGGTTGTCTCTAATTAATGTTCGTAATTGATAGCCCCCCAAAACTCGTCAGTCAGCTCCGCTCCACCCTGTATTACCTACACACCAGGACTCCGCTATATTAATAAAAGGTCACTTAAAAATACAAACATTAATTGGTAATAAATAATACTTGTACAATACTAATCAATTAATGAATCACTTATAGAATTGATACATTTTTTCGGAGTGTTCTTGCATAATAACTTCCATAATTATTTTGCTTGTATTACAGTATAGATTATAAATGTACCTTTTATGTGTCTGAAATTGTAAAATTAGTTTACCATTTAACATGGTAAAATACAATTATTCTTCTTTTAAAAAGACGAAGTAAAGTAAAAAGTTTACAATCGAACACTACAAATTCCCTGATTTTAAATAAAACTCTGAAAAAAAATCATGTTTGAAATTAAAAATTATAAAATAGGCTGATAGAATTGTTTGATATAGTCGCAATTGTTAATATAGTAGGCCTGAAAATAATTTTTAGAAAATCAAAGGGCGTGAAAAACTTGATTTAAATACCAAAACCAATGAGTTGAGGTTTCAGTTGTAGTTCTGAGTACAATACTTGTATTTAATTATTTGTTTTGGGTATAAAATTGTTAATACATAAATGAAGTTTTCAGAAACATCTGGGTCTAAAAATACTAATTCAAACAAATTCTCAGCCAAATATTAACTATGGTTTCTATTATGTATTAACAATATTTATAGTGATAATGGCAACACTGTCATTTTGTTGTTACTCATTCTTATCAACAATTTTTGTATTAGTTGTAAGTCGTTGTATCAAAAAGAAATATGCACAAAAATATACAACAGTTTCTAAACCATACATTTTAAAAATTTCAAGTTAGCTATAACGAAACGATAAAAATTGTTTCAATTGGATATAGAAAAAAAAAATTAAATTAATTACATTATTTGAAAATTAAAAACCAACAAAGTTACCAATCAAGGTATATATTGTGTTTTTTTAAACATTGAAAACTAAATTTTGATTAATAACAATATTAATAAATAATAACACAAAGCTAGACGATTTTGCGGACTAGATTAAATTAAACTGGCGTTGATCACTCGACTCAACTCCGAGTAAATCATAAGTAATAAAAAAACATATAAAGATGAAGACAGAAAACACGGAAATAATGTAAATTAATTAGAAATGAAAAATAGTAGGTACTCACACAACGTAGAAACGTAAACTGTTGTCCAGAGCTGCTACTAAAAACTTATATTAAATAATTAACAGGCAAGACAAAATTCAATTGTATTGTTGTTTTCACAACGAACACACTTAAGCGAATGGATAATGAATTGATTCAAAATAACTAGCCAATAAATCGATTAAGGCCAATTATTAAAAAACTACTAAAAAACTTTTGGCCACAACATAAAATTAATCATCACCCACCATTCGAGTACGAGATTACAGTCCCTTATTGTTATAATTATCCATTTTAATTCTTAACTAGTTTCTCACTATTTATACTTTAATCTTTATTGTCTTAGCTTCTAACCTTCAAGTTATACTTGTAGTTTTGTATTATTCATCTAATTTATCAATATATACCGCTGTAAATTTGGTTTGGTTTTATTTTTCTAATAATGTAAACTACATTTGTCTTTATTTTGTTTTATTATTTTCAAGCTTCGGCAACTTAGGCAATTAGTATGTATGTTAGTTGGTAGACACATTTGTACCCATATAAATTGACTTTTTATTATTGACTAAAATTAAGAAATATGTACTTAAATTGAGAAATGTTGAAATTAATATTACCTATATACTGTAATACGTTTAATAGCATAATATTAATCATTTTTGACACAATATAATCGATTTAGGTATGTCATAAAACTTTTTTTTTAAAAATAAATTTCTTTTATTATTATTTTAGACTGTTCTTTGCAGATAATATTAACCGTTTGTAATATTTTCTACAGTAATTATTTGTTTTGTTTATTTTCTACAGCTAAAAAAATTTTAAAAAAATTTTCGGAACACTACTGCACAATTAGGGTTTTTTCTCGTTGAAGTATTTTTACTTGCTAAATTAAATTGATTACTAATAACTAATAATTAATGAATTTAACTAATTTTTAAAAATTGTATACACATTTCGTTATTGATGTTTTATTAGTATTGGTTAATACTTTGGGTGAACTTAATTGTGCAAGATATGACAGACCAAAAGAACAGAGCATCTGGTTCACAAGGAGAGCCATTAAATTATATTTGTCATAATATGATGATATTAATGATGTTATTCTGAATATATATGGTATTCACTTATAATGTTAATTTTTATTAATTAAATCTTATGAGTAAAAATTTCTACATAATATTGCACAGCTCCAGCTATGTAGTACGTCTAACTTGTTATATTCAGTTTTAATTCCAAGTTAACTGGAGGATACAAAGACAGTTTTTTCAATGATGATTTACAAGTTGTTTCCGAAATTAAATATTTGTCCTTTCAACGTACGGATGGCTCTTGTGCATGCCCAATACTTAGGCCTATGTGATTGATTTTTTTTTTAACTGTCTACGAAGGCGCTTACAAGAGTAACGCATTTTTGTTTCTGCACGGTACTGTTATCTCGGAAGACGAAGTATAATTATATGATTATATGGTTGTTTACAATACCTCAACGCTAGGTTTTCGAGTCAACTAAACTATACTTAACGGATTTATTAGTACGAGCTACACTCGAAATTATCACATTTAGTGCAAACTAATGCAGTTGTTATGGTGTTTCTTATAAGGAAGTTCATTGGAAACAGCTGTTTCTTTTTGGTCGAGACCGTCGGGTTATCGATTTGTAAGACCGAAAGTTCTTGTAAATGTAATTGTACCTGAATGTCCGAATGGGTTATGTGCAAGTTCGTGAAGTTCTTTTATAATATACTTCTAACAAATACAACAATATTGAATCATTTTGCTGAACACAATACGTATTTTGTATCCAACTCAAATCTCTATTTATCATTAACATTGGTTTTGGAATGTCTCAAAAATTGTCCATACAAGATGTATGAAGAAATGTGTCATGAAATGGTTTAATCGTAATCATTAGTTTGTTTCAATAAAAAAGATAACAAAATCAATTAATAGCCATTTTCTCACCCTCCTGGCTTTTTCCAAGATATATGGCTGACCTTTTTAAGACACCAAATGTAATAGTGATAGGTATCGCTTGATAAAAGCGTCATTGGAATAGCATGCCAGTATTCTTTGCCAAAGGATCATTATCAGAAAAAAGAAGTTTAACTGATAGGTACTCAACTGGACTAAAAATTTAAATAGTACACACCTTCCCTTCAAAATCAATAATAACATTTACATATTTTACTACTTAAAATTACACAACTATACAACTTAAGAATAATCGAGTTTGTACGGAATATTCATTAGATATAGAACTAAAAATACAAGTAAACTAACCTAAAAAAATAAAAATACAGTCATTTAGATGGGATGAAAACGTTTTTTTATATTTCTCTTTTTAGGGTGTAGTGATAGGACTAAAGATTTGATAATCTGACTAATCAATAGTAAAGCAATAATATAAAGGTTTTTTTTTAATTTTTTAATTCAAATAAAATAACAAAAAAAATATTAAATCACACTCTTGCCGTATTTATTTTCCAAGTTCAAAGTGTCCAGGTATCTAAAGGTAGCATAATAACTAAAAACCCCGCAAAAAAAACAAGAGGCAATAAATTATTAATACCACACGCAGTAAACCTTAGTAATAATCATTTAAATATCATAAATACAATTTATACAAACAATCACATTTCAAAAGTTTTTTTCTATTTATAATTTAGGATTAGAAAAACTAACAAAATAACGCACAAATTATGATTGAAAAAAGAACAAATATACTAATATCTAACATGTCTTAACATAAAATATAGTACAATACTGTACCAGCACTGTATCAGGTCAGACTTTTGAAAAAAATATTTAGAGTAGAAACCTCAAACAGAGGGTTTGTACACATTTGTGTCATCATAGGTGTGTTTTTAAAAAAAAACTTTAATTACACGTCACTTGTGTACGGCTTGCCTAGTGTGCATGCGTTCATGTTTTGTGAGGTGGGATTTTTGAGTGAATGACTTTATACACACCGTACACTTGTAGGGTTTTTCACCAGTGTGCAAGCGTTTATGATTTGTGAGATTAGATTTAATAGCAAATGGCTTTAAACACACCGCACACTTATAGGGCTTTTCACCAGTATGCACGCGTTTGTGAACAACAAGATGGCTTTTTCGAACAAATGACTTTAAACACACCGCACACTTGTAGGGCTTTTCACCAGTGTGCAAGCGTTCATGACTTGTGAGATTAGATTTAACAGCGAATGTCTTTAAGCACACCGTACACTTATAGGGCTTTTCCCCAGTGTGCACGCGTTCATGATTTGTGAGCGTGAATTTAAAAGCGAATGACTTTAAGCACACGTCACATTTGTAAGGCTTTTCTTTAGTGTGCATACGTTTATGATCTGTGAGTTCGGATTTTTGAGCGAGTGATTTTAAACACACGTTGCATTTGTAGGGCTTAATCCCAGTGTGCAAGCGTTGGTGTCTTGTGAGGCTGGATTTGTGAGAATACGACAATACGCACAAATTACATTTATAATGATTTTCCCCAGTGTGCACGCGTTTTTTATGGGTTGATAAGTGTGCACTATGTGAATGTGTAATGTGTCGGGCAACTTTTTTTTTTGTAGAAAATGTTTTTTTGCATACATCGCAGACAAACGGCTGTATCTCGTCCATGATATAGTTTGTTGTTGGCACATCCATAAGAACACTTTTTTCAACTTCAATCACAGACTCGAAACAATGTCCATTCACTAGATCCACTTCGACTTTGATAATGGTATTGTTGCACGATTCTTCGATACTTTAAACATAATACATAATGTTAAAGGCTAAAAATGGAATATAAAATATCTACTACACCGCTTGAATATGAGCAATCAATATTAAAATAGAATTATGTTCTTAGTATTACCAGAAGAATTAATAAATTTGAAAATTAGTATTCAAAAACTAACTGGTCATAGAAATAACTCCAAAAAAAAAGAAAACATATTTTGTTAATAGGCCATTTTACTACGCTCGTTTAATTTACAGAAAATTGTACTCAGTAAGGCAATAACAGTTTTAGGAAAAGATTGGAAGTAATAGAAATGTTTGTTGGCGAATACAATTGTGCATAGCTAAAAAGAAAAGAAGGAAATATTGATACTAAAAACTGTACGCATTCCTATTCTGTGGATTAGATATGTGACTAAAAATTATAGGATTTTTAGGTATGATCAAATATTATAATTTATTAACAACAAATTATATTATATAAACATTATTTAAATCCAAACTTATTGATATTGAAATCTAAATCACCTCTTGTATAATTCTTTAATAATATTCGGTTTTGTTTCTTCTACTAATGCTCCAGTAATTTGCTCTTTCGTATCCTCATCTTCTTCCTCTATTTTGATAACAACTTCACTGCAATAATCATCCATTTTAATTCTGATGCTTAGCTGGTTTCTCACGACTTTGAATTCTAAAACACAAATCACAATTTCAAAAATTAGTAAAAGAACTTATAATTAATTAATAAAAATGTCTTTAGCTTGAGGTTTACTTGAGTATACTTATCTCGTATTAAGGGACAATAACTACATTTTCGGAAAATTTATTAATTAGATATAGCATGTAAAAAAATAACCCATACTCTTCATAATTCTACCTCATCACTGTTTTACCCCACCATCAAAATATAATTCAATTTTTCTCTTAACAATGTGGTAATATTGTGTTTAATTATTGATATTGTACATATATAAATATATATATTATTATTATTATTAACAGCCCGGACTGTTTCCCGGGTTAATCCGGTCCAGTCACTAGCTACAGTTTTTTTAATTGATCCGGTTAGGTCCGGGTTAGTCCAGTTAAATTTAAAGGGTGCGGTCCGGTCTAGTCAAAATATGGCAATGGTCTGATCCGGGCTTGACAATTTTTTTTAGTAAAATCAATAATACAAATATATTATTAAGACCAGTCCGGTTTGGTTTTGTCCTAACCCGGGTTTCTTAATACATAATGATTAATGGTCAAAGTTAGACTATTTAAAACTATGGATCATGAATAACAGAAATCCTAAAAATATATTAGTAACTCACTCTGTAAGTCTATACGTCTAAATGATTGTACACTAACCATTTGAATTGTTTATAAAATCCATATTAAACCCGTAAACTGTAGATTACTTATTAATTTATTAAGACAAATAACACTATAAAATGATAATATTAAAACAAATTGTTTTATGAATTGTTTTCAAGATAATATGAAATTTTTAAAAATCACAAGGTAGGCTCACAATTTAATAAATATCTCGAGTTGGAATCTCCTATCTGTTAGTCGCACAAGCTATCAAATGCAAGTAATTGAATTACCAATGATGTTTATCACAATGATGTCAATCGGTTCAGTAGTTTAAGTGCAATCGAGTAAAACATGGGAATGAAATTATGACACAATAAAAAACTAATTTCTTAAAAACCAATTTATAGAAAAATATTTTAATGTTTACATAAGAAAAGGATCATGGCATCTACTACACCGGATGGGTGTAAACTAGCGTTTTCATCCCTACGGCTGTTGATGGCGCACCTCAGTTTATAAGTCTGAGTATAAGACCGAGTTCTCAGTTTGTCGTTAGCGGTGAAGATGACAACATTGTTGCCAATATACGCTAAGAGTATATCATTTTTACAGTCGAGGGTTTTTAATATTATTTTATTACTGTAATCTGTAGTTAATTATTAAAATAAATAAAACTGGTGTAAATTGTAATAGATGAAAATGTTAATATCGGTACCTCATCACTGTTTTACCCTACCATCAAAATATAATTCAATTTTTCTCTTAACAATGTGGTAATATTGTGTTTAATTATTGATATTGTATATATATATATATGTATTTATTTATTATTAAACGGGCAAGCACAATGACAAATTATACGTGGATAAAATATTTACATAGATAAAGGTTTATGTGTAGGTACAATAAATTAAGTTATTAAATCACTAATATATAAATTAAACGTAATACAAGAATTACAAATAAACATGTCAATGTTAAAATTTTTTACATGTTGCGTAGATCTAACTAAAGGGTTTGTTTTTACCATATGAGGTACGCTGGAATGGCACGTAAAAAGTATTAGTTTGTTTAGTCATACGACCAGGAACTAAAAAAGAAATACTAGATAATAAATCCGGACAGTTAACATAACCATTTAAAAGTTTATATATAAATATATACATAATATTATTGTTATATATATATATAATTCTTCCCTTCCGATACGGCGACCCGTGCCGTCTTTGATAAACAATATTGTAATTTACCCAGTTGTCAGTAGCGTTGACGTTATTCTCGGATTACCGCGAGACCTTTTTAATTGTAATATTGGACAATTACTTACAATAAAGTTTAACGTGTTTTTTTTTAACAACTGTGTTTAAACATTAACCTAGTTTTTCTCTGCCACATTTACCCGCTTGCCTACCGCTGAGATCTACAACAATAAAACATTTAAAATATTTATTATTTCTGTTGACCATAGATTATATTTGTTAAGAAAATAAATTTACTAGTAAGCATATAAAAAATGATAACTCAATAAAAATTAATACATCACAATCCTGATTTAGTTAAAAAGGAATAACATTTTTAGCACCAAAAATGACACTAACTTGCGATACTTAAGTAGCGCGCCTACTTTAAAAATATAATCACATCTTATTGCCATCAAAATAATAACGAGTTGTCGTCGTCATGCAAATAATTGGTCAGAACATATGCTGCTAACTAGCAGTCGTAGCAATTGGTGTACAATGTTCTTACGAATTATATAAACCTAATGAATTGTCTAGATTGGTAATAAGATGTAGAGAGCTTATAGAAGAACTATAGAACAATTGAACAGTATATCAATAATAAATTATTATCACTAATTGTAATTATTAGAAGTCTCAATTAACAAAATTATTACTTATGTGGTGTTTTACAATTTATCAATTTTCATTTTAAATGTTTTTTATAAGTTCAACAAGTCAGTTTACATTAAAATAAAGTAGAGAAATCTGTTTCCTAATATAGCAGTAAACTAGTGTTATCATCCTTATAGCCGTCGATAGCGCTTCTCACTCTGTAAGTATATACGTCTAAAACGACTGAGCGCTAACCATTTGAAATGCTTAAAAAATCCATATTAAATTTGTAAACTGTAGGTTACAAGTCAGTTTACATTAAAATAAAGTAGAGAAATCTGTTCCCTTATATAACAGTAAACTAGTGTTTCAAAAGTCCTTATTAAGCCAGTAAACTCTGTACTTTATTATTAAAATAAATAAAATGGGATAAAATTGTAATTGATGATAATGTTAATATCGGTACTGTAGTATAGAGTAGAATTTAAGTAAATAGATTAAGTAAAACAAATTATATGTTAAAATTGTGTATTATTATGTACTGTGTAACAATAACGCCAATTCGGCAATTCATACAAATGACCCACTTTAACTTAATGTAAAATACGCAAAACAATATTAACTATTTTTACTATAAAAGGCAAATGTCAAGTAAGCCAAATTAACCTCTCCACTTAGCATTACCTAGGTGGAGACCATTTTGTACTTACCGATCGTTCTGTGTGTTTTAATTGCTATTATACTTGTTTTCAAAGTGTAATCCTTTTTTTGTGTTATTATTTAATAGCGTCACTTTTATTATTTACTACTCTCTTTTACGTTAAAGTTTAACTCCAAATAACGTGTACTAGGACAACCTTTTTAGTGATCAAAATTGCAAATGGTCTTTAATCCCTAAGTTCTAAACTTACAGAAATTGTCATTAATCTAGCTCTAGGAATAATTAAAAAATGGTCTCTAATTACGACCAAAAACCGTATTAGATGCGCTGCATAACTATTACTTATTGTTAGTGTGTTATTTGTGCTGGCTGAAGTATAGTTTCGAAAGGTATTTAAACCTTTCGAAACTATACTGTGCGCGTTGGCATTGGCTTTGATTAACTTTAAAAAATCCTAGTTTAACTGATTGAAAGAGTTTAAGTTAGTGTAAATTGAGGCGGGTATTGGATAATATCGTATACAACATTACTCACGTTCACACAGCTACTTCGAGATCCTCAGATTTACAGACCACACGGCAGAGCGTTGATCTAGAATGTTCTTTGGTAAAAACGCACAATGAATAATAACTTTTTTTTAGAAAACCTTAAGTGACGTTGTCTAATTATAAAGTATAAACATAATATACTGCGTGACTCATAATAAACGATACACATACAAACAAACAAGAGTGCACTATCACGGAATAGTCTACAGCATGTGATAACAGCGGAGACTGCGGTCCGCGATGGTCGGCTGGAGGTAGAACGCAGTGAAGATAAGTATTGGAGCGCGATGGGCTTGAACAAAATACATACTATCGACGTTGACCAAACACCTTTAAAGAAAACCTACAAAATTATTATTTAAATGTTTTGTTAGGGTGATTTATTCCACTTGAACCTGCAGCCTTTTTTTTAGTGCTCAACATGTTTTATTAATAGTTTTATGGTTTTATTACTATCGGACATCTTGTATTGTTTCGACATGACTATGTCAACATTGTCATACGATTTACAGTTAAAACAAGTTAAATTTTGTCAATTTTTATTAGTAAATAATTTGTTAGCTAATCGCGACATTTATTTACTTGTCACTATTTTTTTTGAACATAACTATAAAAAATATTGATAACAAAAATTTATATCATTTTGGAGCCAAATATTTTTAGCTTAAGAATTATGTTATTGTAATTGTATACATCATAAAAAAAACCCCAATGACTTTATGCTTTTCTACAGAGCAAATATTGTTACCTCTTGATTTTACTTGTTGCGATTTTTGTAGCAAACGCTTTTACGTAATAAATACTATTAAATATCTGTAACTTATTTGTTATTGTTAAGAATTTTCATAAATATCACACAAGTTGTAAGTACAATTTATTTAACTCTGAACTCTACTTAGTCGTCAAGCAGCCGATATATTATAGTTTTAAATAACGATTTCTGTAGTTTGGTTGAATTGCTTTAATATTTTGTGGCAAAATCTATAGGACGCAAACATTTCTAACAATATACCTAATTTTATGTCTGTTAAATTATGTTATAGTTGTCCCGCTTTAACGCTAAAAGTCGTTTGAAAACAAAAGTAAATTTAACCATAAGATATTATAACAAATTATTGAAAATATTTGTAGTTCATTTATTTGCAGCTCAAATAGATTTTGTAATTATTTGAATTTATGTTAACATTTGCTAGGTAAGGATGCCAAATAATTGTGCCTTATTGTAGAATAAACCGAACTAAGGCAAAATAAAATATACGAAGGCAATTTGTAGGCTTAAACATTGATGTATTACATTTTATAAAACCCATCACGTTGAGAGCTTTACTGACGGTAGTATTGATATGAGATGGTCAAAGTTCAAAGACTGTGTATAATATATACCAAGAAAACTCGCTCGAGAGGAATACCATTAAGAAAATAAGAGTAGGAGATGAGATTAGGTTGCCCGGCGAAAGTCATACTATGGCATTTGTCTATATAAGTCCAAGTCCAAGGTGTTTAACCCAAGAAAAAAACATGTAAAGCTCAGCATTAAGTGTGAGACAGCTTTTCTAACTTAGGCATCCATTTGTTTGTAGAAATTGACAAATCAAATGAATAGTAGAGGACTGAGGTGACCCCTAAATTATGTTTATTAAGTATAATTTCGATACATTTTCGCTCTTTTTCTGAGTGTTACATAGTAATACCGTATAAGTCAACATTGGCGTCCTTTGGCATTTCGTCAACCGAATACTTAAAAAAAAATAACACTTGTCTGTAAAACAAACACATTTTTGTGATCCGAAAAATAGTAAACGTCACAACATAACCATATTGTTGAGTGTTGACAGTAAAATATATTATTATTTTAGATTTAACTTTTCAGATAGCTATAAACCCGACAATTTCACAGAGAATAGTGTTATTCCTTTTAATTTTGCTTAGTTAAACTTCAGTGAAAACAGTAAATAAAATATTAATACTATGAACTTCAAACTGTATATTATTTTGTTGATATCCTTCATCTTAATTACATATGCCGAACTAACTGGTAAAGAGGTAATTTTTCATATTTTTTTTTCTACTATTATACTGAAACAATTTTAGATTATTATTTTTATCAATCAAAACTATAATTTTAATATTTTTTAACTATTTATTAAATAATTTTTTTAAATAAAATATGATATGAATGAAAAAATAATAGGTTAAACGAATATTTATTAAATTGTAATACAATATTGTATATATATACTATATTATATAATTGTTTATTTCAATAGGTACTGTCATTTGTAATTTTTTAATTTTTAAATTTGGGAATATATATTTTTTTTAAATATAGTTACTTAAAAATTAACGAATAAAATATTATCATTTTATTTCAATTAATACGACATTAGCTACCTCAAAGCCAGTTTATGGTTTGACACCTAAACAAAAATAAAATTGTTATTTTGACAAATTTCTTTCAAAAAACTTTTCAGGCTATACAAAAGGCTTATGAAGTTGCTTTAGATTTCTACGAGACACCTGAAGAAGAAGATCTTAAATTAGAGAGTTTTATTGATTTTATTGGTGAAGAAAATAGCGGGACTGTAAAAGATTATTTGGACAATAATTCAGAAGAAGCAAAAGACAAGGGTAATTTTTAGTATTAATAATTATTTATCATACAATAAACTGTTCGCCTATTTTCTACGAAGGCGAAGTTAAAAATGATTTCTTCGGACGTTAAAAAGTCAATTTCAAACCTAATCGGTTGTATTACACTCGGTTCAACATCGAATCTAAAATACCGACAATAGTCAAATTAAAACCCTTATATATTATTTAAAAAATAGAATACAAACCTTCTTTAAACATTTTAGTGAATTTTGAGTTCTGGCAACTTTTTAAACTTTAACGCATGTATTTAATTAACTTAAACAAATAAGAATAATTTGCTGAAAATGTTGATTAACCGATAGCCAGTTTTGAAGAATTTCTTTTAAGTTCAAATTTTAGGATTGCAAGGAAGTTAATTAAATATATAAATTGTAAATTGTAAAATAATATTAAAATATTGTACGTACATCATAATATTAGAAGGGTTCATGTCTAATACTTTAAGAAAACCCTAGGTGTTTATAAAAAACACATCTCCTATTTGTCATTACACAATTTTGCATATAAAAATATACATCAGCCTTCAACATAATATCCCAAACACACTAAAAGATGCACTAGGAGAAAATAATACACTTTTTGAAATATATAAATCTGAACACATTATTATTACATAGATTTAGTCCCCTACACTCATTAATTTATAAATAATTATTTTGTACAACGTGTCTTAAACATAGGCGAATAGCCTAGTTGCTGAAATCAGTTAGAATAATCTCAAACAATTTTTTTTTAAATATTACACATTAATATAAATTTTCCGTTGTTTTATGAGTTAGAGAGCTGTATTAGTGTACTAATTTTAGTGTCATATGAAAATGTCAATAACAATTTGTTAATGCTCAATATAGTCAACAATCGCTTTTATAGTTTAGGGCCTAAGCATTTTTTTCTATTTTTTTTTTATTCTTCTACGCTGGTTTTTTAGTTAACTATACGCTTGTTTTTTGTTTTTCCAGACAATATAAAATTAGAACTTTTTACGAAACTTCTGGGAGCAGTTGGCTTAAAATACAGTGTTTCTGTCAGAGATATGGTTTCATTAGTGTTGGTAGGACGAAATTTTAATAATATGGCTCGTTACATACAGGCTACACGCATATCCGTAGATTAAAAATATATAGAGCTGGAACATCATAGTGTAATATTTCACTCATTGCGATTCCCTGACTATAATATACATTACGATTAAATTCAACCAGCCTATATTATAAGTGTACATTATATTCAAATGCTTTATTATTTTGGCGAAACGCCGTTTCTCATCTATTAATATTATATTATACATAATTTGTAAAAATAAAAAGATATCAGTATAAAATCTAAATTGTTAGATTATTAAACATTATTTAATTTATAATATAAAATAAAACATAGTGTATTAAATGTTTATAGCATATAGTACAATAAATGCAATTATATAAAATAAAAGCGGTACGTTATTTTTTGTTTGTTATGTATATTATACTCTGTGATCTATTTAGCGTTAGACTCTCATTTTCTATGAAAAGAATTTAAAATTTTTATATTTGAAAGACATTTTAGTTAAATGTTGTTTTACTATAATAAATATTACGCTTCGATACTAATCTGTCAATGACAGAAGTACAAATATCGACAATATCGTTTATTGAAAATATTCTGACTATTTTTTAAAAATATATAGTGTGCGTTAATTTTAAGTTCATAATGTAAACTTTTAGTATGTTCTTCTCGATTCAAAGTACATTAGGATACATTAACTGGTCTAAAGTCTTGGTTCGTTATCAAATCTATTAAGCGGTTCAAAAGATAATGTGGGTCCAGACACAAAAATTCTTTAAAAAAATTAAAACATCATTCTTTCTTAATACCTATGGTTTTTTACAGAAAAAAAAATGTTAGAAAATATATTTAGTATTATGTAAGCAGCTAAAATTAGCATACACACAAATAGTGATTTCCAATTCCATCTGAGTCGTTAAAAAGGTATCGCCAAACATTACTTGACTTCTGTTGGAATTTCTAGTGCCTGTAAAAATAAAATATAAAATAATAAAACTCTTAAAAACATGTTTATACTTTAAAATGTTCTTCATTAAAAAAAAAGTTATTAAATTATTAAAAACTAGGTAAGCAGTAAATTCATAATGTAAAAGTAGTATCAATATCACTAATATTAAAAATGATTATAAAATATTATTACAATTACATGAAAATATAAATAAAAAATGATAAGGTTTTACTATAAATGTTTCAGTACTGTCATATTTCAATTTTTTAATTGCCACTTTGAAATCAGTTCTCTATTTAAAAATTTAACAGATGAAAATATTCTAAATCTAATAAATAATTTAACTAAATAAACAATCACAATTTGGAAATGGATACTTATAAGGTAATTTACATAAATGTTCATTTAAATTAGGCGCCACTCCTTTAGCAACTGCGAGTAATGGAAAATGTTGAATAAAAATATTATCAAGTTCAATTATGTATTTAAAATAAATCATTATCGGGCGTTTGAAGGTTACCGTACAGTATTGGTGTAGGCTTTAAAATAGCATAATAATAATGCTTGATCTAAACTTTTTTGAGATCTACCATACTACACACACACACAAGTCACAGGAATGTTGGCAATTAAAGTATGTATTTTCTAAAACCGACTCTAACAACACAATATTGGCAGCGCTGGCTTCTTGGGAATTTATGTAACACAAAATCTCATCTAGGTCTTTTATGCAATTAGCATTGTGTGAATGCTGAAAATAGTTTAGATAAAATACATTTCTAAAAGCAACATACAATTATACTGGAATTGGATTTCAGTTGTTTCCATTCTTATTTTGAAATATACCGAACAAATGTTTTAAACAATCCTAAATTTGTACGATTACTATACAATAAATAAACGCTGGGATGCTTGGAATTTCCAAGAGTCATACAGCATTAGAAAAACAATTTATGGATATAAGCCACCCATCAATGAAATTCATTCGGGCAGTCTATATCTGCCCCATTCACTTTGAAAAGTTGAAATCATAATAAAAAGATGTTTTTTTTTGCAATAATGTATTTTTAAAAGGCTTTCGATAGCATTTGCTATTTGGCACGTTAGATGAATAAAATATATCAAAAAGTTTATTTACATATTAGTTATAAAATGAATAATAGCTTTAGACTCAACGCTAGTTTACCCAATGCTAAGTAAGTATTCATACCAACAGCTACCGATTCGATAAACACCAGGCAGATAAATGCTCTCATTTTTTTCAAATGGCCCAGGACATATGTGAGCAAAAGTAAGCTCCTGCTAATCTTTTTACAAAAAAAAAAAATAAGTTTGCTATCTCTACTATAAAATTGTTGAAGATAGGTACTATCAATTGTTTTATCACCAATTTTAAAATAATGTTTAAGAACATATTTCTTGTTGACTTTATCAAGTGTGGCAGATCAAATAAGTATATAATATCCTTACTTCTAACTGTAAAATAAGAGTGCTCTAGACTGACATGGACGCTTTTACTAAAACTAACAAAAGTTGACCCTTGGTCTGTAGAAAACGCTTTTACATTTAAAGAAATATTTAACGTCTTTACAATACCACTTAAATCTACACTTTTGCTGCTTCCAGACACAAAAAGTACGCTATAGGAAATTTCCAAGCTACTTTATTTCCTCTTAGCATTAAAACTTATGCATACTTGGCTGCACCAAGTAAATAAAACAAATGGGTTTCACGAGACATTTCCTCAGTACATAATATACAGTCAAGCGTATCATTTTGAAAATTAGAAATTTTAAATTTAACAAACTCGAATAAAAAATTCAATTGAACCAGAAGTTGTTCATATTTTGAAGCAACTCTCCTTAACGTTCTAATAGAAGGTAGACTAAATACTGTGTTCAAGAACCTATATACAGCTGGGCCTAAGAAGTAGATTGTCAACGCCAGTTGTTTCATATCATTAGTATACCTGTATCCATGAGGGTTTCTTTTCTGTCATGTGAGACTTCACAATGGTTAGTACATCAGGAGACAAATGTTTTTGACACAGATCAAGAAAATGTTCAACGCTCTCATATTTGGCTTGTTGTTTCCTTAATTTCATTACAGTTTTTTCGGCTTTAAGACGAGCTTTCATCTCATTTTTAATTTGGGTACGCAAAATGTCTTCGACACACGAGTCTTCAGATGTGCATGTTATTACACTACCTATATATTATATAAGGACATATAAGGTTAGTAAAATATAAGTTAACAAATTATTAGAAAAATAATTTACCAGTGGAAGAAATGTCCAATGGTTTATCTTCAACACAAGATGTTGAGTCGGCCAATTTTTGAGAATCTTTTCTATCTGAGAAGTAAGAATACAGTTTTACATTTTTATTTTATTTAGATAGACATTTTTCATATGTACCTGGAAAAAATGTAGGTATAGCGTGTGGTTGTAATCTATTTCTTAGATCATTGAGAAACATTTTTTTCTCAAAATGTTTACTGCACAATAAAATGTTTTTTAGAGAATGACTATCGGCATCGAGTTGACAATTATTTAACCAGATTCCACATCTAAAGCATAAAGAAAAAGCTATTTTTTAATTGTTTAAAAACACCGTTGACTTATGTTAGTTTTTATAATTATAATAAAATCGAATTACCGAACAGGATCTTTAGGAAAACTAAACAAGCTCAATGATTCATTGCCAGTACGTTTTTCTCCACACGACTTCAATACACATTTCTTTGAAGAACGTGCACGCTCATTAAACCACATAATAATGAACAAACTTAATACTAAAAACTAATTTAAACATTTAAATAATACAAATTATATAAGCAATTAAAAAAATTAAGAAGTTTTTACTAATGTAAACAAATAGATAAGAGGAGTTCTGCTAACAATATCTGATAAGAGCAGCCAGGAGTTCCCAAAATGGTAATAAAAACAGAAAATATACTACTGTATAATTTGGCCATTGCAATCTGACTAAAAAATCCTTTCTAATCAGATTTGAATAAATAAGTACATTTGTTTAGTTTCTCCAATACATATAAAACATTGAGTGTGTAATTTTCTACCTGTTGTTATATCCCAAAGAAGAAGAGCATTTGCAAGTAGTTAGTAGTCTCGTTGTAATTGTGTTACTGTAAGTATCTAGTAATATTATCATTGATTTGATAGTTTTATTTGTATTAAGAAATGATTAAGTAACCTACAGTTTACAAATTTAATATGGATTTTTTAAGCAATTCAAATGGTTAGCGTACAGTCGTTTTAGACGTATATACTTACAGAGTGAGAAGCGCTATCGACGGCTATAAGGATGATAACACTAGTTTACTGCTATATTAGGGAACAGATTTCTCTACTTTATTTTAATGTAAATTGACTTGCTGAACTTAAAAAAAACATTTAAAATGAAAATTGATAAATTGTAAAACACCACATAAGTAATAATTTTGTTAATTGAGAGTTCTAATAATTACAATTAGTGATAATTTTTTATTTTATTTATTTTACAAAACAGGCCGTGGCCCAAAGTACAATTTTTGTAGACACAGAAATACATATATAGTTATTTAATTTAACAAGCTATACAAAAGTGAAGGTGGAGATGTTCACATTTGCAATGCGCAATATCTTGAAAATAGGTCTATTATATGAATAATTAGTGTTGCAAATCGGTACAAAGAAAGGATATGGTGATCTAGAATGGAAGTTATGGACTTTGAAGTTGAGTTCACTTAATAAATCAGGACAATCAATAGATCCATCCATAAGCTTTCTCAAAAAGTCTTGACTAGCAGAAATACGCCTATCAGCTAGTGTTGCTAACCCAAGTTTATTTAATACTGGCTCATAGTCGTGTGGTCAGTGAGCAATATGGAGTACCCTGGCAGCAAAATACAAGAATTTCCGTTGGACCCTCTCTATCTGGTTTTTAGCAATTACGGTATTAGGGTCCCACAGCATACTTTAGAATAGATCGAACAAGAGCACAGTACAAAGATTTTAACGGAGCTAACAAGTTTAATTCCGTGGAAACTCTCTTTACGAACCCAAGTGTCTTTAGCGCCTTACAGCAAGATTTTTCAATATGGTCATGGAAGTTAAGTTCCCGATCAAATGTGATACCGAGTTCATTTACTGTACTAACTACATCAAGGAATACTTCTTTTAATAAGTAATTATACATAATAGGGTGATGGATTCTGTAGGACATAGAGTGGACAATTTTGAAGTTATTTTTAAAATAGTTATATTTAAGGAGTAAAATTTTGATATGAATGCTTTCAAGCAAGATAAGTACGAATAAAAATTAAAGAAAATTTTCAAAAAATTGTCTTGTTATTTTTGTTTCGTAACCTTAGAAGAAAAAAAGTATAAAAGGGGTGAAGAGTGGCGCAATGAGCATTGTATGGTTTTAAAGGAAATTTAATCTAGTATTTAAATATTACCATTTCTTTTGCATACATTTGCCCAGTGTTTTATTCTCATTTTTCGCAAAATGAGATTAAATAGAGTCTTTAAAGTGGAGGCCCAAAAACAGGGGGCTGTGTAATAAATTGAATGTTAAAAGTTATATAAGGCAAAAATTGAAAGTAGACTATTTTGAAAACATGTTTTGAACATAGAAAAATTGCAAGGAACCTTAAAACTCATGAATTTGACCTTACCATTCCAGTTCTGTGTGTGAGCAACATGAATCTGATACTCATTTTGTTTAAAAAGTAATTGACTAAATTTCAGCCAGATTGTTTTAATTTGTATTAAAATTTTCCAAATTTGGAACACCATTTATCCGGCGGGGACGACAGTTTTTTTTTAATTCTTTCAGATTTTTTTATACAGTGGATACTTCCTTATATTTTGATTGTTTCACGAAAAATTCAGTTTAAATAAGAAATAACGTGTTCTGTGAGATTTTGTTAGTTTTGGCGAACTTAAAAAAATCATTTTTAAACAAAATTAAATTTTGAAAATGATATTTAACTTCAAAATTGTTGTAGTTGTAATAATTATTACAACTGATAAGCAACAGAATTGACGCTGATAACAATGCGAGATAATATCAATTTGTTCAACCATGTCTCAAAACCGTCACATATTAATAATTATGAATACATTTTCAACAGGAGCTATGCTGTTTCTGGGTTTCACAACTATACAAAAAAAACAACTAGCATTAAATGGAGAACAATTCTGAGAATGACTTTTGTCCGCCTAAATCAGCTTTTTTGCCCACTGTGCGGCGGCTCGTTATTATTTCGATGGCAATAAGATGTGATTATATATTTAAAATAGGCGCGCTACTTAAGTATCGCAAGTTAGGGTCGTTTTCGGGCTGGGGGGCTAAGGCTAAAGCATGTCCATGCTAAAAATGTTATTCCTTTTTTACTAAATCAGGATTGTGATATATTAATTTATATCGAGTTATCATGTTTTATATGATACCTTCACTGCGTTCTACCTCCAGCCGACCATCGCGGACCGCAGTCGTCGCTGTTATCACATGTTGTAGACTGTTCTGTGATAGTGCACTCTAGTTTGTATGTGTATCGTTCATTATGAGTCATGCAGTATATGTTTATGCTTTATATTAAGACAACGTCACTTAAGGTTTTCTTAAAAAAGTTATTATTCATTGTGCGTTTTTACCAAAAAACATTCTAGATCAGCGCTGTGCTGTGTGGTCTGTAAATCTGAGGGTCTCAAATTAGCTCTGTAAACGTAAGTACCGGTATTAACTTTATCATGAATTACGATTTACTCCTATTTTATTTATTTTAAAATAAACTACAGAGTTTACGGGTTTAATAATGATTTTTAAAACAATTTAATGAATTGTACTTGTGTAAAGTTTAGACTTATAGACTGAGGTGTGTCAACGGCCGTAGGGATGAAAACGCTATTTAACAGCCTTTCGGTGTAACAGATGCCACCATCCTTTTCCTATGTAAACATTCAAATATTTTTCTATAAACTGATTTTTGAGAAATTATTTTTTATTGTGATATAATTTTATTCAAATACTTGGATTTGATAGCTTGTGCGACAAAACGTGAACCTACTTTGTGATTTTTTAAAAATTCATATTATCTTGAAAACCATCCATAAAAAATGGATTATCACTGTTTTTATTGGATTATTTGTCTTAAGAAATTATTAAGTAACCTACAGCTTACAGATTTAATATGGATTTTTTAAACAATTCAAATGGTTAGCGTACAGTCGTTTTAGAAGTATACACTTACAGAGTGAGAAGCGCTTTCGACGGCTATGAGGATGATAACACTAGTCTACTGCTATATTAGGGAACAGATTTCTCTACTTTATTTTAATTTAAACTGACTTGTTGAACTTATAAAAAACATTTAGAATGAAAATTGATAAATTGTAAAACACCACATAAGTAATAATTTTGTTAATTGAGACTTCTAATAATTACAATTAGTGATTATAATTTATTATTGATATACTGTTCAATTGTTCTATAGTTTCTCTAAAAGCTTTCTACATTTTGATATCTTGTTACCAATCTAGACAATTCATTAGGTTTATAATATTCATAAGAACATTGTACACCAATTGTTACGACTGCTAGTTAGCAGCATATGTTCTGACCAATTATTTGCATGACGACGACGACTCGTTATTATTTCGATGGCAATAAGATGTGATTATATATTTAAAGTAGGCGCGCTACTTAAGTATCGCAATGTTAGCAAATTAGCATGTTCCATACTAAAAATTGTATTCCTTTTTTACTAAATCAGGATTGTGATGTATTAATTTTTATTGAGTTATCATTTTTTATATGCTTACTAGTAAATTTATTTTCTTAACAAATATAATCTATGGTCAACAGAAATATTAAATATTTTGAATGTATTATTGTTGTAGGTCTGAGTGGTAGGCAAGCAGGTAAATGTGGTAGAGGAAAATTAGGTTAATGTTTGTATAAACACAGTTGTTAAAAAAAAACACGTTAAACTTTATTGTAAGTAGTTGACCAATATTACAATTAAAAAGGTCTCGCGGTAACCCGAGAATAACGTCAACGCTACTGACAACTGGGTAAATTCCAATATTGTTTATCAAAGACGGCACGGATCGCCGTATCGGAAGGGAAGAATAATATATATATTTATATATATATACAATATCAATAATTAAACACAATATTACCACATTGTTAAGAGAAAAATTGAATTATATTTTGATGGTGGGGTAAAACAGTGATGAGGTAGAATTATGAAGAGTATGGGTTATTTTTTTACATGCTATATCTAATTAATAAATTTTCCGAAAATGTAGTTATTGTCCCTTAATACGAGATAAGTATAGGCATGTTTCTAATGATGTCATTCGCTGGTAAAACTTCTCGGTTTTTTTAAATAAAACATATGTCTACCCTCATGTTTCATTTGAATATGTTTAACCTCAAGCTAAAGACATTTTTATTAATTAATTATAAGTTCTTTTACTAATTTTTGAAATTGTGATTTGTGTTTTAGAATTCAAAGTCGTGAGAAACCAGCTAAGCATCAGAATTAAAATGGATGATTATTGCAGTGAAGTTGTTATCAAAATAGAGGAAGAAGATGAGGATACGAAAGAGCAAATTACTGGAGCATTAGTAGAAGAAACAAAACCGAATATTATTAAAGAATTATACAAGAGGTGATTTAGATTTCAATATCAATAAGTTTGGATTTAAATAATGTTTATATAATATAATTTGTTGTTAATAAATTATAATATTTGATCATACCTAAAAATCCTATAATTTTTAGTCCCATATCTAATCCACAGAATAGGAAGTCGTACAGTTTTTAGTATCAATATTTCCTTCTTTACTTTTTAGCTATGCACAATTTTATTCGCCAACAAACATTTCTATTACTTCCAATCTTTTTCTAAAACTGTTATTGCCTTACTGAGTACAATTTTCTGTAAATTAAACGAGCGTAGTAAAATGGCCTATTAACAAAATATGTTTTCTTTTTTTTTGGAGTTATTTCTATGACCAGTTAGTTTTTGAATACTAATTTTCAAATTTATTAATTCTTCTGGTAATACTAAGAACATAATTCTATTTTAATATTGATTGCTCATATTCAAGCGGTGTAATAGATATTTTATATTCCATTTTTAGCCTTTAACAGTATGTTTTATGTTTAAAGTATCGAAGAATCGTGCAACAATACCATTGTCAAAGTCGAAGTGGACCTAGTGAATGGACATTGTTTCGAGTCTGTGATTGAAGTTGAAAAAAGTGTTCTTATGGATGTGCCAACAACAAACTATATCATGGACGAGATACAGCCGTTTGTCTGCGATGTATGCAAAAAAACATTTTCTACAAAAAAAAAAGTTGCCCGACACATTACACATTCACATAGTGCACACTTATCAACCCATAAAAAACGCGTGCACACTGGGGAAAATCATTATAAATGTAATTTGTGCGTATTGTCGTATTCTCACAAATCCAGCCTCACAAGACACCAACGCTTGCACACTGGGATTAAGCCCTACAAATGCAACGTGTGTTTAAAATCACTCGCTCAAAAATCCGAACTCACAGATCATAAACGTATGCACACTAAAGAAAAGCCTTACAAATGTGACGTGTGCTTAAAGTCATTCGCTGTTAAATTCACGCTCACAAATCATGAACGCGTGCACACTGGGGAAAAGCCCTATAAGTGTGCGGTGTGCTTAAAGACATTCGCTGTTAAATCTAATCTCACAAATCATGAACGCGTGCACACTGGGGAAAAGCCCTACAATTGTGCGGTGTGTTTAAAGTCATTTGTTCGAAAAAGCAATCTTGTTGTTCACAAACGCGTGCATACTGGTGAAAAGCCCTACAAGTGTGCGGTGTGTTTAAAGCCATTCGTTCAAAAATCCCACCTCACAAAACATGAACGCAAGCACACTAGGCAAGCCGTACACAAGTGACGTGTAATTAAAGTTTTTTTTTAAAAACACACCTATGATGACACAAATGTGTACAAACCCTCTGTTTGAGGTTTCTACTCTAAATATTTTTTTCAAAAGTCTGACCTGATACAGTGCTGGTACAGTATTGTACTATATTTTATGTTAAGACATGTTAGATATTAGTATATTTGATCTTTTTTCAATCATAATTTGTGCGTTATTTTGTTAGTTTTTCTAATCCTAAATTATAAATAGAAAAAAACTTTTGAAATGTGATTGTTAGTATAAATTGTATTTATGATATTTAAATGATTATTACTAAGGTTTACTGCGTGTGGTATTAATAGTTTATTGCCTCTTGTTTTTTTGCGGGGTTTTTAGTTATTATGCTACCTTTAGATACCTGGACACTTTGAACTTGGAAAATAAATACGGCAAGAGTGTGATTTAATATTTTTTTTGTTATTTTATTTGAACTAAAAAATTTAAAAAAAAAACCTTTATATTATTAAATCTTTAGTCCTCTCATTACACCCTAAAAAGAGAAATATATAAAAACGTTTTTAACCCATCTAAATGACTGTATTTTTATTTTTTTAGGTTAGTTTACTTGTATTTTTAGTTCTATATCTAATGAATATTCCGTACAAACTCGATTATTCTTAAGTTGTATAGTTGTGTAATTTTAAGTAGTAAAATATGTAAATGTTGTTATTGATTTTGAAGGGAAGGGGTGTACTATTTAAATTTTTAGTCCAGTTAAGTACCTATCAGTTAAACTTCTTTTTTCTAATAATGATCCTTTGGCAAAGAATACTGGCATGCTATTCCAATGACGCTTTTATCAAGCGATACCTATCACTATTACATTTGGTGTCTTAAAAAGGTCAGCCATATATCTTGGAAAAAGCCAGGAGGGTGAGAAAATGGCTATTAATTGATTTTGTTATCTTTTTTATTGGAACAAACTAATGATTAGGATTAAGCCATTTCATGACACATTTCTTCATACATCTTGTATGGACAATTTTTGAGACATTCCAAAACCAATGTTAATGATAAATAGAGATTTGAGTTGGATACAAAATACGTATTGTGTTCAGCAAAATGATTCAATATTGTTATATTTGTTAGAAGTATATTATAAAAGAACTTCACGAACTTGCACATAACCCATTCGGACATTCAGGTACAATTACATTTACAAGAACTTTCGGTCTTACAAAACGATAACCCGACGGTCTCGACCAAAAAGAAACAGCTGTTTCCAATAAACTTCCTCATTAGAAACACCATAACAACTGCATTAGTTTGCACTAAATGTGATAATTTCGAGTGTAGCTCGTACTAATAAATCCGTTAAGTATAGTTTAGTTGACTCGAAAAGCCAGCGTTGTGGTATTGTAAACAACCATATAATCATATAATTATACTTCGTCTTCCGAGATAACAAAAATGCGTTACTCTTGTAAGCGCCTTCGTAGACAGTTGAAAAAAAATCAAGCACATATGCCTAAGAATTGGGCATGCACAAGAGCCATCCGTACGTTGAAAGGACAAATATTTAATTTCGGAAACAACTTGTAAATCATCATTGAAAAAACTGTCTTTGTATCCTCCAGTTAACTTGGAATTAAAACTGAATATAACAAGTTAGACATACTACATAGCTGGAGCTATGACCAGTTAATTTTTGAATACTAATTTTCAAATTTATTAATTCTTCTGGTAATACTAAGAACATAATTCTATTTTAATATTGATTGCTTATATTCAAGCGGTGTAGTAGATATTTTATATTCCATTTTTAGCCTTTAACATTATGTTTTATGTTTAAAGTATCGAAGAATCGTGCAACAATACCATTGTCAAAGTCGAAGTGGACCTAGTATTCACTAGGTTGACTTCGACCTAGTGACGTGTGTTTAAAATCACTCGCTCAAAAATCCGAACTCACAAGACACAAACACTTGCACACTGGGATTAAGCCCTACAAATGCAACGTGTGTTTAAAATCATTCGCTCAAAACTCCGGCCTCATAAATCATAAACGTGTGCACACCGGGGAAAAGCCCTATGATTGTAATATGTGCTCAAAGTCATTTTCTCGAAAATCCAAGCTTAGGAAACACGAACGAGTGCATACCGGTGAAAAGCCTGACAATTGTAACGTGTGTTTAAAATCATTCGCTGAAAACTTTAAACTCACAAAACATAAACGTGTGCACACTGGCGAAAAACCCTATAAATGTCACGTGTGCTTAATGGCATTTTCAGAAATATCTAACTTCACAAAACACCAACGCGTGCACACGGGTGAAAAGCCCTATATATGCGATGTGTGTTTAAAATCATTCGCTCAAAACTCCCACCTCACAGATCATAAACGTGTGCACACTAAAGAAAAGCCTTACAAATGTGACGTGTGCCTAATGTCGTTTTCTCACAAATCTAGCCTCACGAGACATAAACACGTCATGCACAATAGAAATTTATAAAAACACGCTTTTCTAAAAATAGTAAAAAGTGAACTAAAAAGTAAAAAATAATTACAGCACATTTTTTTTAAAAATGTCAATTACTTTAAAAAATGAAAAATAACTACAATTTTAAATAATGTTAAACATCTTTAATTTTTGACCAAAAAGAAAAATGTGGTCCCTATTCAACAAAGTTTCTAATACATTTATCAAATGACATTTCAAATAATGTTTTATATTGTAACTAAAAATTAGTTAACATAATACCTAACTCAATGAAATTATATTTTGTATTATTATTCTAAGAAACCTAATATTGTTTTTTTGAAAAATTTTTAACGTTGTAAATTTTTTTTAAACTAATACAAATTTTGTATCATTTATTTAAAACTTTTGTCAATCTTTATAATTTTGTAATACCCTAAACATAGCTTTGTAATACGCAGTTAGTTTTTAATGTCGTGATCAAAAGCGTATGTCATAACATCCAATATGATAGACCTAACCGAGTAAAATTCAATTTAACTGTACCTACACTTCTAATTTTCAGATTTTTAAAATTTGTAAACAAGTTTGAACAATTTAAATTTCAAATTTTTGGTCTTTTGTTATACAATTTACTATATTCTCTAAGAGGGGTATTTATTTTTTTAAATTTATCAATTTTCTGATAACCAAGTAAAAAATTATTCATTTAGTTCCCATATAGAAGCTTTTTTGACTTTTTAGGTCTTATTCTGTACTAATATTCGAGCTTAACATCCTCTTTTCTAGGTTATTGTAGGAATCGATTTTTATATATTTGAATGAGAATTGTGTTTAAATCCTATTTTAATTATATTTTCATTTTTCTATTTTTCTCATATTTTTAGTATTCACTGCCTTGTCTTTTTTAAGTGAATAAAGTAGAAGAAAATAATTGTTTTTACTCGTAGAAAAAATTGTATAAGTTATACAACTACAATATATACATTTTATACATATTGCTTTCTTTTAATTTAAATATTTTAATCAATAACTTATGCTCTTTGGGCGGTTATACAAATTAATAAAGAGTCTCTAGGAGTATTTTAAGGTAGATACAGGGTAATTACCTGTCCAGGGTCTCTCAATTTAGCCCTAGAAGGCACTGTAACAATTTGGTAGAGGCCTATATGATCTCCAGAATCGGATATAGTTGAAATTTCTATAGAACATTAACTAGGCATGACTCCATTCACACTTGGCCTTAAACCCAAATATCGACAAGCACTCACCTCTGGGAGGGGGGGGGGGGCTGGAAGGTGTTTAGTTTTTTCCCATTTTTAGGACTTGAGATCTGAAAATTATTCTGATGATAGGACTTATATTTATACCTATAGCATGTGTAAAAAAAATTCTGAAGTCAAAATGTATTCGTATTATGGAAAAACAAGAAAAATCTTAAAATTTCGATTTTGAAAGCTGTTTTGGGTTAAGGAATTATATAATTATTGATAGCTTAAGAATATTTTTTTTATGAAAAATGCACAGAAACAAAAAAAGAGAAACTCTAACATTGACAATTTTATAAACAGGTTAATTTTTATTATCATGTGTCACTCAATTTCTCACTGGTTTTAATTAATAATAACATTTTTTATTTTATATAGTTTTGTATTGTGATCTCAATTTTCTACAAATTTTTATGTTCCTATCCCGTTTCTAAACTAATTATTTTTATATTATCTTTTTAAATGGATAATAATAATTAGTTTTGGAGGGAGGTAAAAATAAAAAAGATTGTAAAACATCGAGATCACATTATATAAAACAATATGAAAGAAATAGTTTAATTTTTCATTAAACCCTAATAGAGATATTGAGTGGTTCACGATTAAATGATCATCGTATTGGTATTACAATTAATGAAATTGTTTAGGTTTTATGGACGTTGAAGCTGTTTTCAAGTATCTCAATTATTTTGCAAACTGAGGATACCAAAGCAATAAAACAATTATTGGTTTTATTAATAATACCACCTGCTTTCAATGCTGTAATAACAACAGATTGTTTTATATTTTAGGGTGATATCCTGTTTTAAAACTTAAGTTAATCTAACCTTAAAGTTGAGAATTCTGACTTTATCATATCAAACTCGGGGGATTTACTATTCTTTAATTTCAATATAGTTGCTTGTACTTTAGTCTTCGAAAAAATCGTTAAATAATAAAGCGTTTAAATCGGAGTGACTGCATTTAGATTTATTTATATTGTCATTAAAATTTAAAAGGAATATTGAAGCTATACTAGCTTCTACTTTAGAAAAATAATAATAAAAAATATTTGCCACATAACTGGTTCGTCAATATAATTAAAAGTTCCTTTTCCGATTTTTATTATAATATATATTAATATTTATCATATTACTCCTAAAATATAATACTTTACAATGGCCTATGAACACACATTTTTTGTACGATGAAATGTGTTAGTACAAAAATGACTTTGAAGTATTTTTTTTTTCTTCAGCTTCAGAGACCGTTCAGGCCCATTGCTGCAACACACACTTCCTTCCATTTCTCTCTTTCCATTGCTACCTCCCTGTAGTTTTCAACTCCTAGCGTTGTTAGATCCTTTTAGACTTTATCAAACCATCGTTGCTTAGGTCTGCCTAAGGGCCTCCAACCTAGGACCTCCTTTGCAATCATGTTACACCTTAGTTTGTGACCCAGCCAGCTTAGTCTTTTGGCTCTAATTACTCCCTTGAAGTATTGTGTACAAAAAAACGCACAATTATTTACCATTGCTTTTAGCGTTTTATATTTCTTGATTTCGTATCGAATTGAACAACATAGGACGAATAGTAAGAGCCCACACAATAATACTTCTCTAAATCAGTACCACACAACCGTATAAACAATTTTACATACTTGAAATTTTACCACACAATAATATGTGGGAAAATAACTTGTAATCGACATGCTTTTCAATTTAAAGTATGTAATGTTAATTTTTGTACCCAGAATTATTCTTATATAAATCATATTAAAGCTAATCCAATACCAACGTGGCTGGCCAGCCAGGATGTTATTTCCACAGCTCTCGCCATATGTATTTAATAATATATTCTACACGGTTTATTTAGTCACTCAATATGGGAACTCTGTTAAGATTGTATTATCACTAACACTAAATCTTTATAAAATAATTTTCAAGATGAATTAGGATATAATATCTATTGGAATTATAAACAATTAACCTGTCACCCGCATTTGCATAGACATTAAATTAAGGTAACAAACATTGAGAAGTAGAAATAAATAGCTGGAATAGACTAGATGAAAAAATACAACTTTAATTAGGTATTCGGTAATTATTTATTTTGTTGGTAGACATGCATGTTACAGTACTTAATATTACATGCATGTACTATTATGTACTCGATATCAAAATGGTTTATGTGGAATATGTTATTGGAAAATTCACCGACATAGGAACATTAATACACAAACACAGAAGCAAAATAGTAAAATAAAAAAACTCAAAATTACCGTATATTGTTAAATATCTGTAAAATGGGCACACTGATAGATATGGTTATTGGAATTATTTCATTTTACATTTACCTAAACCCTGTTATATTATTAAGTAAAAGTTCAAGACTGTCGTTATTTTCCACTTGTTATCGCGCATTACTACTATTAAACTCAACCAGTTTTGTTGATTTTGTTTGAATGCAAATTAAAATTAGTTTTTTTTTCAAGATGAACTCTATACAAGATGGTCAGTAGATTTTATTTATGTATACACATTTAAATGTACACGAATATTGATTGACAAAAAATATGAAAAATGCACAATAATACATTATATTTTGAATAGTCAACTTTATTTTTGAAGCATAATTTAAAAAAAAATAAATTACCGACACTTAAAATTAAATGACATATATTTTATAGCAAATTTTCCAAGGATTAAAACAAGTTTTTTTTATCCACTGCGTTTGGCGATTTAAATAGAAACCGTAACAATTAAAACAATTTTTTTTTTACTTTTTAGAAACATCCTTTACAATTCAAAATCGATATATTTAAAAAAAAAAGTAGGGATCGCTATTTTTGAAACCTTAAATTGATATGAAAATGTTTTTAAGCCTTTATTTAAATATACATGTAAAAGGAAACCTGTTCTACTAAAGTAAAATGTATAAGATTTCCAAAGGGTTAGTTAGAATGGTTAAGTTAGGTTTGGTTAACAAATCGTTCTTATTTTACATAATTAAATTAATTGTATTTTATGTCATTAAGACAGAACACTTAATACATTATGTTTTTTGTTATATTATATAGTCAAACCAGTTTAGAATTTTTAATACTACTCATTTTTTAATTTTACAAGTGATGTGTAATATAGTATTAATAGATGAGAGGCAGCGTCACGCCAAAATAATAAAGTTTGTGTAAACTTATAATATAGGCTGGTTGAATTTAATTACAATATGTATTATAGTCAGGTAATCGCAATAAAGTAAGCGAAAAAGCGAGCTGCAGTGTGATCAGATTGACAAAATTACATTTCTCTGGTAGATATTTTTAATTTTGTTTCACTAACTACAACTATTTGTTACAAACCATTTGTATTTTCGGTTAAAAAAATGTATCACTTGACATTATCATGTGAAATTCGAATTTACCTATTGATCTGTATAGTTGATCGGTTAGGTTTAACAACTTATGTTACGTATCAGCAGTTTATATAAATACATATGGTGGGAATTGTCTACCATACGCGGGTGCTGCACCGGCACAACTCGTCATTCGTGTAATTTGGGTTTCATAATAAACATTAGCGAATATTATTATTTATACTAATCTAATTGTGTTTTACTTTCATGCTAAGGTATAACAAATTGGCGACGAAGAAAACTCTTTATTTCTCACATAGACCATACTGTCTATTAAAAGTAAATTAAAATTATTTACGTGTCTAAGAAGCTCAGTGAATTTGTAATAAAATGTTTTTAAAAAATGGTTGAAACCAAAGAAACCGTTTAATTCAATCAAGTAATTAGAACATCCGGAACATTTGAACCTGGAATGGACGTGACCATATTCGAATCTAAGCTGACAAATTTTTTTCTGGCAAACGGAATCGAAAACGAAGTTCAAAAGAAAGCCATATTGCTTTCATCAGTTAGTGAAGAAATTCATAAAATTTTATTCAGTTTATGCGTTCCAAGCACACCAGACACTCAGACGTATGCTACACTTATTGGTCTTTTAAATAAATACTATAAGCCAGTAAAGTCCTACTTCGCCGCGAGACATGCGTTTTATCAAGCCAAAAAACGTACAGATGAAACAGTTGCTGAATGGGGTGCCCGAGTCAAAAACCTTGCATCCAAATGCAATTTCTCGTCAGAATTATCTACTGTCATCCGTGATATTTTCGTAGTGGGTATGGATCCGGGAAAAGTGCAAGACCGACTACTTGAAGAAGATGCTTCTAAAGTAAGCACAACATTTACAAGCCTCTCAGAAATAGCTACTGCTAAAGAGGCTACTTTGAAAGAAAAAAATGGCTGGGAGAAGGACGAAGCCGACCTCAAATACCAGAGGCAGTCGCGCAAGTTCAAACCAGCTGATCGTCGGACAACTTCAGATAAACCAAGGTGCGGGGTATGCGGTCGTTCAAACCACGCCCAAAAAGACTGCAAATACAAGAACTACAGCTGTAACATTTGTAATGTCAAAGGTCACCTGGCTCCTATGTGTACTAAAAAGGGTAAGAATGATCAACCAAACTATAATAAGTCTGCCCATTATAAATTTATATCACAGAATTCGAATAAAAATGTAGATGAAAATGATATTATGTATAATTTATCTGATACGTAACAACTTATAAAAAAAAAATGTTTATTTCTATTTCAAGTGGTCACACTGTCGGTCACCTTCTTGATTACATCGTACAGGTTATTTTTACTCTATGATTATAATATAGGTAACAAGTTAGGGTTCTTAAGACCTCGTGCTACCAATGCTGCCATAGCCATATTTCTGGTATTTAATTCGTATTTAGAGCCAACTACTTTCACAAGCTTCGAAAAGAGTTTTAATTTTATATCGTCTGAAAACAAAAAACAAAAATATAATTAATTTGAAAATTTATTATATACTTAAATTTTTAGAATATATATATATATATACAGCTGCAGTTTTGCAGTAACAAGTCACAAAAAATTAAAAACATAATACAAAGTTTTTGCGAAACAAATTTCTTATTAAATCTAACACATGAGTTTTAGATTATTTTTCTAGTAAACAAAAACTAAATTTTAATTTTAAAATTTTAAAATTTCTTATGCTTAAAATATGGCGTGAAAACTTTTATTATTATAATTTTAGGAAAAATAAGTAATTAAAGTTTTTGCTAATAACTTTAAAAGTAAGTCAGACCGACCAAAACTGACTTCATTATCGTCATCAGCTTAAAAAAACCAGTATAGTGTGGTCGGGGCATAGTGGGGACGGGGAGGTCACAGGTTTACAGGAGTTTTTAAATCTGAAATTGATAAAATCAATTTCGAAAAAACGCCTCGATGCAAATCGGTAGTTAGTATTTTCAAGCCAGTACAGTCCAAACCAGCAAAGTTAGAAAGTTTTAAATTGAGGTTCTGTATTTACAAATAAGCATCAAAGCGTTAATTTGAAAGTGATTTTATCCGAGAGGCCTAGTACAGTAGAATTTATATTCTAATATATTTTCCATTAGGTCTATGCATAATGGAATCAAAGCAACGAGGCAACGGAGAGGTCACAGGTCTACAGGAATTATTATAAATTAAATTTGTGTTTTTTTAATAAGAGTATAGGAGTAGTATCATAAAGAAAAATCGATTTTGTTACATTTAAATTAAAATAATACGTATACTGGTACTGTGATGGAGAAAACAATAAATTTTAGCTACATATATTACTTATTAGTTAAATATTACTAACGTGTATAGCCACTAGCGGTCGGCTGTTGCCGGTTATTTAACAATAACCTTTTATGGAGATTTTAAAAATTGTGTTATTTTAATAAAAGCATAGGAGCGGTATCATAATGTTAAATGTTCACGAGATTTAATCTAGTCATAAAATAAAGTATTATCATTCATGACTTAATTATTATTAAAATATATCTTAATTTGAACATAGTAATAAAATAATGAAATATTTTATACAAAATTAGATCTACAAGTTCATAAACTAAACAATTAAAATTAGCACGAAGCAGATTATCTAATATTAGACAATTAAAACAATCAAGCGTGAACCTCTTCAAATGAATAACAGTATAATAATATGCAAAACATTAGTGTTCCTTTAAAAAAATTGTGTAGTAAAAAATACATTTTGGGGCGGTATACTGCATAAAAACCAACACTTAATCTGAATCCAAAAAACAACAGTCATCTTCATAATTTGCAGGTAGTTGGACCTTATATACTCATAGTTGACCTTCGGTCGGTAATATAACGCGGGTGATAAAATAACGAGATAACGACAGTGGTTTTGTCGTGTCAGAATCATTAAGTGTCTGAATAAGTACACGGATAGGTTTTTTCCCCAATAAATCGTGTACCTATTATAATCAGTTGCACGATTTAGTCGTCTGTGATATCATGTAATGATATCACAAATTTCAACCCAAAGGTCTTAAAATTACGGCTTAAAACCCCGAAAAACAAAAAAAAAACTGTACCCCCCTTGGGGGGTGGGAAATGGGTATAATTTAAATTTGATACAACTGACGTGTGCGGGCCGGGCATACTAAATAAATATTCCTTATAAATTTCATCTCGATCCGACTCTTTTTCTCGAAATTGTAGCCAGTAAAAGTTCTACCCGTACGATTTGTTTTTTGTTTTTTCAAATTTCGTCTGTGAAGAAGTAAACTTTTTCAACTTTTACCCCCCCAAACACTTTTTTAATATTCCAAAAATACATATTTCTATAAAATTCTATGACCAAATTTCATTATTTTTTAAAGGGCAAATCATTGTAAAACTTACACCTACTACCCCTTCAGCTCTGTATCAAAGATACAATATGAAAACTTTTTTTGGTGTTTATATTATATATTTTGCTAGGTAGGTATCATTATACTTTATATATATATATATATATATATATATATACATTAACAAGGCTAATATCGTGACAAATTTATTTAAGTACCAATAACAAATGACAACTCTGTTGTGGTTTGTTAATACTAATAAAATATATTACAACTTTTATAAGACATTTTCAGTGTTGAGTGTTGAGGGGATGGGTGTAAACTACAATTACTAATAATTCAAAATATCATGTTGCATAATTTTATTTATGAATATAAATAATATTTATAATCATGTCAAATTGAAATAATTAAATTATAGGTATATACTAATTTGTATTATAAAATCAGTCACTAGTCATCATTGCAACGGTCAACTTGTTTATCCTCTTCATCCGTACATAACTTTTTGTCTTAGATTTTTCGTTTGCAAAAGTTCGGATAATATCTTCGAAGTCTAATGATTTTAAAAATTCACTTTCGATGCTCAAAGTTCCAAGGTTTTAGTACTTTAGTTTGGAGGTTAAATTTTGTTGATTTAAATATAATTGCAACACTATCATTAGGTATGTGGCATTAGGCATTGTTGGCAACTTTAATATGATCTTTTTAACAATATTTATTTTCTGCAAAGGTATTAAAATCAGAAACTGAATAGATACATAACACTGGAATGCTATTATTTAAGACCTTAACCTAGTCATGGTAGCCTTAAATACCGGTCTAGTAATTTGAACAGAATTTAATAAAGCAACATCTGTTTTTAAAAATTCCATGTTTTCAATAAATAAGTCACATTTGAAAATCATTTTCTTCGCTTTTTTTTTGCATGATATAACTGGAGGCGGAGTCCAATACACTTGTTCTGGCCCTTTTTTTATTTTTATAGTTTTGTTTAGTTGAATATTATCATTAAAAGTCAACACTAACAAAAAAAAAATTGTTCTGTAACTTCTATTACTGTGATCTCCAATCTCTTGGTTTGATACCAAATTAATCATGAAATTTCTATTCAATATAGTAGAGGATTTTATTAAATATTTATTAAGATATATTCAATAAAAATTGTGTATTATATTATGTAGTATGACAATTGAATCGGTAGCAATAATTAATATTATACAATATAAAATATTGGCTATGCTGTAACGGATTAAGCTCACCGAGCACATGCGTGATTGACCTTCTGAAGTACTTGAGCTCGTGACATCTAT